ACATAGACATCTACTGTGTCTGAGCCTTGTTTAATATCAAAAAGCTGTTTCTGCCAAATAGCTTTTTGTTTAGATGTATGAAAGCGAAGTCTGAAAAGATGTTTAAAGCTTCTGTCTTGGTGGGCATTATTATCAAAAGCATTTGGAGCAGGATTAAGACTTTGCTACCAATCTAGTGCAATTTCTTTTAAATATACAGGAGTTAGTTCTAATTTTTAAACAGCATCCTATTTGTTAGCAATAGCAGCTTTTCGAAAATCTTCAAGCCATTGTTCTGGGTTTTGGGTTTCATTACCATAAAAGAAGTCAGCTTTTATAAGAGATTTTTCACTTCTATTTAGGGCATTAGTAAGATTAGTCATAGCTTGTGTAGCATCTTGTAAAGCCTGTTGTGTCATGTTATTAAGTAGGTTAGGGAGGTTATTGAAAATAGGTGAAAGTGAAGGAAGAAGTTGAGATTGAGGTTGAATAGGTTGAAATTGAACAGTGATAGGTTGAGGTTGAATAGGTTGAGATTGAATAGGTTGAGGTTGAACAATGATAGGTCGAAGTATAGGAATAGCAAGTTGAGGTAGAGGTGAAGGAGGAAGACTATCTTCAAAAGTTTGTTGAGGTGAATCAGTAGGATTGTGATCTGAGCTAGAGGTTTCTGTAAGGTCTACAGAAGTGGTAATATATTCTTCTGTTTCTAAATTGCCAGTATGTAGTAGAGGGATTTGTAAAGTCCAATTAGGAGTATAGTAACTTTCAGAAAGTTCAGTAGGTGTAACTAATTTACTATATAGAGCTAAGCTATCTGCTGGGTCATGTAAGAAGGAGATATTATCAGTAAATGTAATATTAGTAGTAGGTGGTATAATAGAGCTTTCTAAATTTCCAAGATGTTGACTAAATTCATCTGGTTCTTCAAAACTAAAACTTAGAGAAGTGTCAAACTAAAGGTCAAAAGCATTTTGGTATTCAAAAGGTATGGTAGGGAGTTGGAAGAGATTGGTATATCTTTTAACTAAAGTTAAAGCAATTGTTCTAGAATTACCAATGTCTTGTTGGTATCGACAACTAAAAATAATATCTCTAATGCAGAGATGAATTGTGATTCGATTTGGATATGAGGTAGTAAGAATGGTAAAGTTGTCCTAAGTTTTGAAGGAATAATATTGAGCTGCAAAGTTGATTTGATACCAGGTTCAAAATTGTCCAAAATCTGAGTGATGACTAGTATGTTGAGGGAAGTAATACTAAAGACAAGATAAATCTGAATGCTGTGCTTAAAGTACATCTACTGCAAGGTGAGATCCAGTTAGATGTGCTTGTTGATGACTTTGAATGTTTTTGTTGTAGAGTTTAGCAGCAGTGTAAACCATAAAAGAAGATATGTTTATATATCTGAAACTCTGCTAGGATAACTAATACTTGTCTGAGTCCCTTGTCTGAATAACTAATACTTGTCTGAGTTTCTTGTCAGGATAACTAATACTTGTCTGAGTCTTTTGTCAGAATAACTAATACTCGTCCAGGTCTTTTGCTAGGATAACTTTTCCAATATGTCTGGAAATACTTTGTCCAAGATAACTTGTTTTTCTCTAAAAATTTAACCTTTTTGCCAGAAGTCACCAAATGTTATAAGTAAAAGCCTTCTTAATTTCCACATTATAATGATGACACAGTACAGGGAATCCCTTATGGGTATATGCGGTGTTCAAGAGGAAAGTATAGCTTTTGTTAGACATTGTTAAGAAACTATACTCTTCTCTAAGGCAGTTCAGAAAAGATAATACAATACTAATAACTTTACTTTATTTCACTAAGAGGAGATAAACCTTGCCTGTAGGAATTACTCTAAAGGGGAAGTATCAATACAGTTTATAATCAAAAGCTGTTTATTATAGTAATAACAAGAAGGGCTATCCTTAGATTTCTGTTCCTAAAGAATCCCAAATGTGTTTACAATATTAAAGAGAAGAGGGTTTATATATCTGTGAGCTAAGCAGCTAAGTGGCCAAGCGACTAAGCGATTAAGTGACTAAGTGACTAAGTGACTAAGTGATCACTAAGCAATCAAAAGGTTCTAGCAACTAATAACTAATAATTACTAAATGACTAAATACTAAGTGACTAAGCAACTAAGCAGCTAAATGACTAAGCGACTAAGCGACTAAGTAATTACTAATCAACCAGACAGTTCTAGCAACTACTAATAATATAATAATAATACAATAATAGAATAACTAATACTAAATAATAATAATAAAATAATAATAACTAATAATAATAATAAAATAATAATAAATCATTCTATAACAATACAAAGAATACAGATAATAATAAAGAGCTAAATCATATTAAATCTTTAACTAGTTTTTTTCATAAAATGGATAATAATATTAGACAAAATATATAACTTTTTTTAGTTTTTAAAAAATTTTAAAAAGAGTATTAGGATGTGATGACCTAGTAAAGTGATCAGGCTGTCAACTCTCCAAGTAGTAGATTAGGTGTTCAAATTTTATCAACAGCAAAAATTTGAATAATTAATTATTTTTTTTTTTTGGTATTAAGGTGATCTCTTTGGTATTTTGACTTTTATTAATCACTTATTGATATTGTAGTTTAATAAACTACTACAGAAGAGTATACAATTGGCTATATATATAACTTTTCTATATTACCTATTTAAGGAGTTCGCCTGAAGGTTTCCTACTAATTGCCATACCTAATACCCCTGCTTAAGTGTTCTACTTTAAACCCTCTGAACCTGTAATCTGTATTAATATCACTGGGTCATACCCAGATGCTCAGATCATCATCTTAATCTTAGGACTAATTTATCCTTAAGATAAACCCTCCAGAGCCTTCTGTATTCATTTTTATAGCTAACCTAGCTATTGTTATGGCAGAACCAACACTTGTGGTTAGAGCTAACCATTAAACCACTATGCCCTTGTAGAGTTCACTTAGACCCTAGCATCTACTTTACAGCATAATCCTGGTACTTTAGTATACTTCAGTCTTTTTTTCTGCCCTTTTACTAAACTCCCAATCCAGATAGCCCATGTAGGACTATGACCAGTTCATCAATATATTAGATTGGCCTGATATCCTTTTCCTTTAGTTCATTCCAGCGGCCTGGTTGGTAGTACTTCTGAGACTCTTAACCCAAAGGTTCTTGCCTGTTCGGCTACTAAAACCAGGTACTAGACCTAGGTATTTATTTCTCTAGGCTAGCTTTTACAGTAGGGCCATCGAAGATCTAGCTATCTCTCTACTCAGGTCTTTTCAAATGGACTTCTTGTTACCTAATTTTAATAAATTTACATAACCACAAAGACTTATCTAGTGTTTGTACTGTCCAATATGTAGGTTTGCATGTCTCTGTATAACTTCAACATTGCACAAATGCCCCGTGACCTGCCAGTCATGCTAGTGTGACTGCTATTACAAGTATCCTAATCCAACTATTAGTAACAGTTAACATAATATGAATATTATATAGGTAATTATTCAAATTTTCGCTATTGATAGGATTTGAACACCTAACCTACCACTTAGGGGGTTGACAACCTGACTACTTCACTAGGTCATCACACTCTTGGATAATTATTTATGTAATATTTATGTTATAACAACTGTAACTAATAATTGGATTAGGATATTTGTAATAGTAATTGCACCAGCATAATTGGCAGGTCATGAGGCATTTATGTAACAGTCATGTGATATTTTTCTTTGGAACAAGGTCTGTAATTACATGAAGGAATGCAAACTGGCAATTGGGCAGTGCAAACACTAGATAAGCCCTTGTGATCATATAAATTCAATGAAATTAAATAACAAAAAGTATATTTGGAAAGACCTAAGTAGAGAGATAGTTGGATCTTTGATGGCTCTAGTGTAAAGGCTAGCTTAGAGAAACAGATACCAAGGTCATAGTACCTGGTTGTAGTAGCCAGATAGAAAAGAACCTCTGGATTAGGAGTTTTAAAGATATCATCAACCAGGCTATTAGAACAAACTGCAGAAAAAGGATATTAAGTCAATCTAATATATTGATAGACTAGTCATAGTCCTATATATGCTATCTGGATTGAAAGTTTGGTAAAAAGACAAGTAAAAAGGCAGAAGTATACTAAAGTACTAGAGTTATGCTGTAAAGTAGATGCTGGAATCTAAGTAAACTCTACAAGGACATAATGGTTTAATGGTTAAGCCCTAACTACAAGTGTTGGTTCTGTTATAATGATATCTAAGTTAGCTGTAAAAATGAGTACAAAAGGCTCTAGAGGGTTTACCTTAAGAATAAAATAGTTCTAAGGTTAAGATAATAATCTGAGCATCAGGATATAACCTAATAAAGTTAACAAATTTGCAAGTTCAAAGGGTTTAAAATAAAACATCTAAGCAGAGATACTAGGTACAGCAATTAAAAGAAACCTTTGGGCAGACTCCTTAAATATATAATATAAAAAAGTTACATATATAGCCAATTGTATACTTTTCCTGTAGTAGTTTACTAAACCATATTTATTATTGTTAAATAAAGTTAAAAGACTCAAGAGGTAACCTTAATATCAAAAAAAAAAAAAAGTATTATATGCAAAAACTCTCTTTAAAAATAGATTAGTTTTATTCATCTATCAGTATACAAATAGTCTCATAACAGTTTGAAGCAACACAAAAATATCTGTTTAAGTAGCATTAGCACAAAAAAGAAAAAGAGCTGTATTGCATAGTCTAAAAAGAAAAACTTTAGAAAGACAACTATTAGATAATAAAAAAAATAAAGATTTACTTGAAATGCAACCAAAAAAAAAGAAAAACAATATAAAAGCTATATAATTTAGTGCAAAATATTAATAATAACAGAGCTAATTAATTTTGGTTTATTTTTTTTATAAATTCTTTTACAAACTTTGTATTAAGATTATATAAATAAATAAAAAGATGCATAATTCTTATTTGCTTTAATATTAATATAAATTTAGAATCAAAGAGTATGGTGACCTAGTGAAGTGATCAGGTTATCAATCCTTCAAGTGGTAGATTAGATGTTCAAATTTTATTAATAGCAAAAAATTTGAATAATCACTTATGTAAGCTGGTATTACAGCAACTGTTTCTAATGATTGAGTTAAAATACCTGTAATTATAATCACATTAACATGACTGGCAGGTCATAGGCATTTGTATAACAGTCATATGACATTATTTTTTGGAACAAAATCTGCAATTATGCAAAGAAATACAAACTATAATTGGGTAGTGCAAACCCAAAATAAGTTCTTGTAACCATGTAAATTCATAAAAATTGGTGAACAAGAAGCCTATTTGAGAAGATCTGAGTAAAGTGATAATACAGATCTTCAATGTACTACAGTAAAGGCTAAATCTAAGAAACAGATATTAATACTAAAGTAGCCAGATAGGCAAGAATTTCTAAGTTAGAAGTCTTAGAAATACTACCAATTAGGCTGCCAGTTTGAATTAGAGAAAAAGAATATTAGGCTAACCTGATATATTGATAGACTAATCATAGTCCTACATGAGCTATCTGGATTAGAAGTTTGATAAAAGAAGCAAGAGTATACTAAAGTACTAGAGATATGCTATGAAGTAAGTACTAAGATCTGAATGAACTCTACAAGAACATAGCAGTTTAATGATTAGCTCTGACTGCAAGTGTTAGTTTTGCCATAATGATATCTGAGTCAGTTGCAAAAAATAGGTATATAGCAAACTCTGGTAGGTTTATCTTAAGAATAAATATTCTAAGGTTAAAATGAAGAATCTAGTTATAATCTAATAAAGTAATATGAGACAGGTTTAGAGGATTTAAATGAAACACCTAAGTAGGGTGTTAGGTATGGCAATTGGTAAGAAATATTAAATAGACTTCTTAAATAGGTAATATAAAAAGTTATATAAGTAACCAATTATATGCTCTTTCTGTAGTAGCTTTTTATAAAACTAAATTTTTAAAAATATATTAATAAAGTCAAAAGATCAAAGAGGTCACTTTAATACCAAAAAAAATAAACTTAGAATTAGATAATAATTCAAGATTTCTAGAGTTAATAATATAGTAATTATGTTCTAAGATTACAAATCACAAGGCTGCCAGTTCAAATCTAAATAACAGCAATTGTAAAGATATATTTCTAAAAATAGAAAATTGCAATATTACAAAACTAGAGATCTAGGATGTTCAAAAACAGACTTATTTTTAGAAATAGCAAGTAACTTGCAATTAAAAAGCTACATGATAATGAATATAAGTTAGAGTCTAATTTGAAATAACTGAAGTTATAAGATATAATGTAAGGCTAAAAGTCTAATAATAAAAGATATTACATAAACTCATAATGATAACTAGTTTTATATAAAACTTGGCAAAGCCTTCTGATCCTAATAAGAGTTGGTATAATAATTACTTTTAAAAAGTTTTAAACTATAGACCAAAAGAGATTGAGGTTTAGTAACTTTAAATATTGAAACATTAGTTTAAAAAAAGTATAAAAGAAAAAAAAAATAATAATTTAAGTAGTAAATATGTATATATATATATACTATACAAATAAATATATATTAGTATAACTAGAAAAACAGGTGCTATTAGTGTCTGAAGCTTTTAATTTTATGAGATTTTTTATTCTGTATCAATCTGTTATATTAATTTAAACTCTTCATTACTAATACCTTTTAATTGAACAATTCCTAATATAAACTTTACTGATCTTTTTATATCTAACTAACTAAATTATTTAAACATTACTACAACACTCTCTCATATCTTATCTATAATTATACCTGAATATACTTTCATTCTAATTAAAATTGGTTCAATAAATATAAATAGTCTCTCTTAATCTAACAAAAAACTTTTCTTAACAGAACTCTTACAAGAAAACAACTTTGATATTTTTGGACTCACTGAAACACATTTATCTTCTAAAAAAAAAAAAATCTTTAGTAAGCAAATTCAAAATTATACCAGTTTCTGGAGCCTATACACAAATCCTCATCAAGCTGGTGTTAGTATCTTTGTATACAAAAAAATTTTTAAATATATTGCCAAATCTCATAATTACAATGATCACATAATTGGACTTGATTTCCATTTTAAAAACACACCTATCAGACTTCTTCAAATATATTTTTTAATTTATGAAAAAAAACAGCTTTATAAAAAAATTCAAAACCACTTAATTTCTTTTACTCAAAATAACAAATATAAGCTAATCATTATAGGAGACTTAAACAATGTTCCAAACCTAAAAATTGACAAATCCTATTTAAAAAAATTATCAATTTCAGAAAGCCAAATAATTCAATATTTAATTAGCTTTCAATTTAAGGATATCTATTGTATTTTCTATCCCAATACATCAAATTTTACTTTTAGTTGTAACAACATCCAAAGCTGAATCGATCAAATATGAACTAACTTATCTATTACTAATATTGACTATACAGAAATTCTTCCAATTGGTATAATTAAATCTGATTATCAAATTATAACTCTTAAAATCTTTATTATAATCAATAAACCCAAACCTTATAAACAACATAAGCATAAAGTTTTTCTTTAGAAAAAGTATACTAAAGAAAATTTCAAAAACTATAATGAACAAACTACTAAAAATCTTTAACACTTATCTTCAATAATCTTATCAATTTCAAACCAAAACTAACTCAATACCATATAGAACAAAATTCATAAAGTACTAATTAAGGCCTTTACTAAACAGATTCCTTTCAAAAAAATTAAAACTACTAAAGAAATTTATGATTCTTCATTATCAAAACATTCATCACTTTTTTTCTGTTATAAAGAGATTCAATTTCTTAAAAATCATACAAACTCAACTAACTTTAATATATTACTTACCAACTACCAAAACAAATACCCAGATTGCATATTTCAATCAATATTACCTTCATTAATTTAGATTAAAGAGGAATTTCAAACTATCAAAACTGCACTTAAGCACTAATATTAACAATCAATCTATGATAAAATTAAAGAAAAAATAAAAGAACAAAACAAACCTTTCAATGAAACACCTAAACTTTTTTACAAAAAAGTACTTGAAAAATATAATAACATCTATATAGATAAACTACTTTTTAATAATAATCTTTTCACAAAACATGATGAAATACTAAATGCAATTAAACATTATTTTACAGAATATTTTAAAACCAAACCTCTCAAAACTATTCCATCAACTTCTGAATTCTATTCTCTTTATGAACTATATTTCAAACTTGAAATTCACTATCAAAATCTTACTTATAAAATTACTGAACAAGAATGTCAAAACATTATCTTTAATTTATTTAATCAAAAAGCAGCAGGCCTTTTAGAAACCTGCTATAAATATATAAAATATACTAGTTCAAAAACACAAAATATTTTTCAACTCTTTTTAAATAAATGTTTTTATCTACAAAAAATTCTCTTAGACTGAAAATCTTCTAATATTTTCCTAATTCCTAAAAAATCTAATTGGAACTATATACTAAATTAAGTTTACACAATTTTTATAATAAAACCCTTCAAAAAAACTTTTACTTAAATATTTACAAATCGATTAGACAGCATTATCTTCTATAACAACCTTCTATCAAATCTAAATATTGCAGTTTCAAAAAACTCTTATATACATCTTCCTATACAAAGTTTTTATAACACAATTAAACATTATATAACCACCAACAAAGAAGCCTAGATTTTCTTTCAAAATATGTTCAAGGCTTTTGATAAAATTAATATAACAAGACTCTAAGATATCTGTAAAAAAAATAGAAATCCTTTTAACAGGAATTAATCTAATTACAGAACTACATTTTTATTGATTTGCTAGAGTAATTACTGCTCATAGCCTTATCTTACAAATACTAATTAACTCTAGAATTGAACAAAGCAAAACATATTCACCTCTTTTATGAAAAATTTATTATAATTCTATATTCTATTTTATTCAAAAAAAATACTAAACCTATTTATTAAAAATTTCATGTCAATCTTTTATTGATATCATAACTAATACAACATCTCTTTTAATAACAATCCTACTATTGGCTTTTATGGATGATACCATCTAACATTGTGAAAGTGCAAACATAATACAAAACATTATAAATAATATCTCTGAATTATACAAATTCAATAATATAGAAATTAATACTAATAAATCAGATCTTCTTTATATTAAATCCAAATTTTTATCAAATCCAACCCCTATATTTTCAATAAACTAACAAAACATTCAACCCAAAAAACTACAAGATGTAATTTGATATTTTGGCTTTTTTTATAATAGCAAAGAATCTTCTAAACCAATACTTGACCAAATTCAAAACAAAATTGAAAGCTTTCTTACTCTTATACAATACAAAAAATAACTCTTTCACAAATTTCATTACTTTTTAACTTAATTCTACAACTTTTATTAGAATATCTATTTCAAATTATTTTAGTTTACACAAATATACAATTTAAATTTTCTCGTCTTTTCACTATTCATACTAAAAAAATTCTTTTTTTAGCAAAAAACACTAACAATATAATTCTTATTAATTCATTTACCTTAATTTACCAACCTTCAACAACATTATTCAAAAAGTTAGTGTAGCAAATACTGAATGAATATTTAACATATTACCAATTCTTAAAAAACATTAGCATCCAACAAATTAAAGAATGGCTAACCAAAACATGATCACCTTAACTCTTATCAAATACTTTAACTAAATATTATCGAAAAATGAAAAATTATACTTTATTTTTTCATCTTTCTCAACTAGCTTTAAATAATATTTTATTTTTAATTATC